GATTTTTTTAACAAACACTAGAATTAACAGAACATCTTGTATCGACTATTATCTATCAAATGATAATACAAACGAAGATTTCAATACAAACAAAGATTTCAATACAAACGAAGATTCCAATACAAACAAAGATTTCAATACAAACGAAGATTCCAATACAAACGAAGATTCCAATACTGGTACCTATTCAACAGAAATGAAACAACAAATATAAGTTTATTGTGAAGGCAAATAATAAATAAAAACAAATAGCAAAACAATATATAGCAATAATTTTTTCTTTACTAAATATTCATACAAAATTTTGTGTTTTATTTCATATCAAAGAGAAATTGTTATTAAATTGACAATAAATAAATATTACCAATACTCTGGAGCATTTCGCGAATTATGCTTTTGCTGCTGCATGATACAAATCGATTATCTGATGGCTTTTTTTAGAACAAGCTTTTGTGACAGCACTGCATGCTTTGCTTATTGAATTTGTATAAATGGTTCTCATAAGTGTGCAGTAATTGTTGTTTTCTGTCCTAAATATGTCATTAAAAATAAAATTATTTTATTTTTGTTGTTATAAATCATATAGCGCTTATATTTCAATAAATATTACAAATAAATCTTCTTCTTTAGACTATAAATGCTTTCTCTCTTTAATTGATCCATCATTTTTGGTATTTTTTGTTATCAAAAAAAAATAATATATATTCCATTATTGCAAATTTATCTATATACATAATCAAATCGGCTGATCCGAAGACGTTAGTGCTATTAATAATATTAAAAATTCTGTCTGTTTAGTAAACTTGATTTAATGGGTGGATTTACTACAACTGTTTCTGGAATTTAACAGAGTATTAATTAGTGCTTCGAATTAATGAGATACTGATTAGTGGGTTGAACCACGTATATATTGATAGTGTTAATAGAACAAATGAAGAAAATTCAAGCTTATACATATATATATATATATATATTTGGTCGCGTTTACTTAGTCGAAAATCATTTTGTCGACAATCATTTCGTCGATAACCATTTCGTCAAAAGTTTGTTTCATCGAAAGTTCATTTCGTCGAAAATTATTTCATCCTCAAGCCAGAGACCAAGCGAGTTAGATGTGAGGAGTGTGGGAAGTTAGTTAAGAAATTAGGTGAGAAAAATGGAGTGTGTGGGAAGTGTGAGGAGAAATTTGTTTAATGAAGTTGACAAAATGAATCAGATTCATATATTTTAAACTTGCCCACAATTTGGCAACATTTTAATATTAATGTTCTAGTTCAATATCTAGATGTGAAAAACATTTACGTCTTTGTCCAAATGCCACAATTCAAATTAAAAGAAATTAT